CAAACACGGCTTAGCTTAATGGGCCTGAAAGTGTTCACGACCAGAACACCGCCGTTGGCTGTACAGAACGAACAAGTGAACGACCATATTTGGCCAATTAGTCATCCTATATATTTACGCAGACGCTCTGTATGTTTTGTCCTGGCAATACAGCCGTGTCCCGAGTTCTCTGTCTTCTCCCTATCGCATCGTCGGACAGGCTCAGTGCAGGCATAACCAGTAGACGGCCACCCACGATACAACACTCTGAAATGGAAGACATAATCTCTTAGAAGCACTGGCGGGCTTGGCTTAGTCATAAAGTGACGGGATCAAAGCTGTCGCCTTCAATAGCCCTTTATCTTCAGTCACATTTCACCCGGCATTAAATCTCAACATCTTCCGACATCCTGCCGTGTTCAGGCTATTCTCCAAAAATACGGGTGTGCCGTCCACCATTTCCACGCACATACAAGTGTGTTGAACGTTATTGCGGGGATTTACTCTGCTCAACTGGATTACCTCTTCGGCCAGTTGTTTAACTGTCACAGCTGTCTCTACATCCTCGTCTTGCTGCTCAACTGCACTTTTCCACATCTGTACGGTGTGGAGTAAAGTATATGGATACCACATTGTCCGACTCTCTGATTGTTCGCTTACATGTTTGTGGTAGATAGAAAGGCAGTGATATTTAAGTGAGCGAATACTCACTAGAGAAACACTCGAAGCATATGGCCTGGAAAAAAACAATGTTCAAGATGATGGATATTTACCAAAGTCCCAGTTCTGCAGTGGAACTATCTAGACTTCCGAACTCAGCTCGAAAAGCCAATGAACACTTTGTCCGCGCTCAATATTTCAGGTGGATGCATTTTGCCTTTCAGCCTATGTTTGTAATATTGTGACAGCTTGACCTTTATTCGTGGTAGAACACAAAATGGCTGAATAACTTGGCTTGGGGCGATCGATTGAAGAGAACACCGAATATGTTGGCGATGTTGTGGTAGCTCGGGTGCGCTGTATGGTTGTTCGTCTACCCGCAAAGTCTGATAGTTGGAGCGCAAACATTTCGTCACTATTCAAAATGACATCGTCGCCTTCAACGCGAGGTGATGAAGCGTTTGCGATTCAACTGCCAAGCTCGGCGAACAGGCCTAAAACCATACACCGGATGTGCCTTGGCATATTTCAACGACTTCATTTGAAGAGTATAAGTTGTGCGACGTGACAGGATAGCAAAAGGTCTTCGGTTGAGTATTCAAATGAAGTTATGGACCAGAAACCTACTACCCACTTTTTGTGTTCTCACGAACTGTAAATGGCGCACTTAAGTGACACGAACTACCATCTTTGCTTGACTGTCCCGATTGATTAATATAGGGGAAACGGCTGGAACAGCTGGAAAGCTTCCAACGGAAAAAACTGGACTGCAATGCAAATGCGGTTAACACATTGCAAGAAGGTTATTGGAGCCATCCTGAATTTATTGTATAAGATACCCACAACGATCTCTCCAAAGACCACATCCCCTCAGGACTTGCGGAAATTGCGCTCTTTTTGGAAGCTTTCGCTCTCTATAGCACACTGCGCATACACCAAACGACGCCCCTGAAGCACCATCTCGGAACTCTGCACCTGATCGTTCTGTCAGAGAGGTGCCACATGGTGAAAATTAGCCAAAATTAGAATGGGGAGAGGATTCAGAAAAAAAAACAAGACGCTGATATCCAACCATCTTTCATGCGAACAACCAATCCAATGAAGCCGACAAAAGTCGAATAAAAAACTAACCTAGGCTACTCATGAGTAGCTTGATTTGCTGCAGCGCCCAGGCGTTTTTCTCACCACAAATGCGGTGGACAGTGCAATTCTTGATCTCCCTTGGGAAAAGAATGACTGCCTTATGTGGCGGTAATATCGAAGGGAGTTGAAAGTTGGTCACTTTAGGGACAGGCGATCTAGTGGAACTAGTCCTTCTCGACTCGCTTGATAAGTAGTCTGTTATGGTTTAGGAATGTAGAACTAGTGCAAATAGGTTGTTCGGTTGAACCCAAAGATGTGCTCAATATGTCACGGTCTGAATTTCCAGGGTATATGTACATTACCACACAACTTTTACCAGGGACTTCTCAAGTATACCCCCCTCCCACCTTGCTTGCGTGCATTCACATGTCTCGCAGTGAGATCATGGTTGTATGTGAGTTAGGATACTGCCAGGTGTCCCAAGCTTGGACAGTCCTCAGTACAATACACCTCGCCGTACTCCCAGACGTCATTTGATAAAGTTCATCCGCGCGGACCGAGGGGCTTGGTGAGTTCAGAAAGCTGAGTTGGAAAAAGTTAGAAACTCTGGGAATCTGTGTAAACTATTCCAGTTTATACGCGCAGTAGATCCAAAAAGGTCTCTCTGAGCGAAATAACTGATGATGTAAAATGAAGAACGCTCTAATCATTGGGTTGGACACTTTCAACCGGCTTCCAGAAGCAACGGAGCCCTCTAGACAGTGAACTTGGACCCCCCCGCCCTCTTCAAAGCTGAGAATGAAACCCACAGTCAGTTCTTGTTTAACTTATTCCCTCCATTTGGGTGAAACAGATCATCCTGACTGGCGGAGGTAAGTCGATGGTGGGGCTCATTTTCAAAACCAGTGCTCCCAATGAGTGCGGCAATCACACAGGAATCAGTTTGACCTCTGTTGCCAACAAACTCATTTATTCTACGTGGTTTTGCGGAGGTGGGTTGAAACGACACCCGAGAACAAACAGGACTCTGGCCGGGAAGAGGCCACATTTTCAAACTCTGTCACATTTTAGAGTAACGTCATGCATGTAGGCTCCTTACAATCTTGATGTACCTTGACTCCAGGGAGGCGTTCGATTCTGTCGTCTGTTTCGTTGTGTTCAACGTGCTTGCGCAGTAGTTTATGCCCCAGAAGTTCGAAACTATCGCACGCTGTTTGTATTTGTATACTTTTGGTCGCATAAGAGTGCACGAGGAGCTCTCCAAAAGCTTTCCTTTAAGACGTGGTGTCTGGCGAAAATGCCCACTCTCTCCATTTCTGTTTGATTTTGGCATTGACGATATAGTGAGGTGAATAATGGAAGGTCCTCAAAACCTGAGTGTTTAGATCTCTGGGAGCGAGGACCTTGTCGATCTGGAATATGCAGAAGATATTGTTCTCATTTTTGAAAATGAGCGAGAAGTGTAAGCAATATTCGGAAAGCCGCTCAAGATCATCCGGTCCCTCGGCATACGCTTCGCGCTCAAACTGCATGACCTGCAGTCCTTGAACACATCTCCGAAAAGTAGCACTGGAAGTTGTGGAATGCTATGCTTATCTTGGAGGTTGCATCGACTGACGGTAATGCGACAGACAAAGTTAACTCACGTATATCGAAGACCAGAATTGCGTTTGCCAATTTGCGCTTTTTGTGGCGTAAAAAGGCATCTCACCGAGTCTCAACCGACACGTTCATCAGACTACAGGACGTGCTGTATTGTATGGCAACGAGACCTGACCAAATCTTTGGGTCACTGACCAGCGATGTCTTACAACCGCAGCTGGAATGGCCTGGAACCAGCGCGTCCCAGCTTGAAGTGATCGGGAGACGGGTTTCTAGTAAGTCAAAGGGCGTAGTGTGTTCCCCTAAAAAGAATGTATTCAGGACTGCAAGCTAAGGTGGCTGAGTTACATATTACGCATGGCGAGTTACCGTCTGCCGAGACGAGCTTTGTCTTCTGTGCCTAATTCGGAGTGACGGAAACTTCGAGGTGGACAGAATTTGACATGGCAGGACGGAGTAAAAGATGTTGCGAAACGTTTGGGTGATGTTGGTACTGTTCGCCTTCCAGGATGGGGTACACGTGACCCTCCCTGCGCTTGGCTGGAGACAGGCTGAACGATATGGCAGTTAATTAATGTCAGTGACGTTACTGCTGTCAATTTCTATCCCTATTTTCTGATTGAGTACTAGAGTTGTAGGTACCTCGGGTGTTTTTGCGAGTTACCATCAGGTCTCCTTCACTGTCCGATTTTTTCTCTCTCCGTTGTATTGACGTGATAAAACACCCGCTTTCTCATCTGGCGTTACTCTCAATGCTGCGTGTCTTGGAATTCTGGGCTCTGGCCATATTTTAACTCAGCTTTAGTGCCGCTTGTATGCGCGACAGAATGAGGCCTCATGATTTCACCGTGTCTGGCACAGTTTGACTTGAGCTTATTTTAATCTAGGTAACTAGTAAGTAGGCGTCTGACGATGCAATGAATGTTGCTTTCAGAGAATCTACTCCGTACCGCAAACTGTGATGTGTACTGCATATCCTGAATAATCGTCTCCCCGGGATTGACTCAGACCACAATTGGAAAATTGTCGAAAAAAGATCACGAATAACTTGGGATATATTCTCATTCCTGCGCTTAGCTTGAAATATGACTGAATATGACTTCAAACAGATTGTCCGGTTGTTGGAGATGAAAGTATCTCGGACTACATGTGGTAGGTGGACGCAGAGAATCTTCGTTTTTCAGTGTTTTGTATATAACTAATTAGCCAGCATGACTGCATGGCAATCTACTGGTTCCCAACATGTTGTGTCAGTGTGAATGTGCGAGTTGGGGAGGCCGGGCTAAACTAAATCAAATTGATTTGCAAATGAGTGTATTTCTCGAAAACAGTCCAATTGGGTTCAAGTTCAAGGTTGATGGAAAGTCGGGGACTGCGCCTACCTGATGAACCCCCAAGAAGGGCGAAACCGGTCGTGGGCTGTCGAAGCGCTTTCAGCAACCTTGTGAGTAGTTTCCTTTGTGAAAATATACTGCGATATCTCGAATATCGTACCAACTGAATCATGAGGCGGCCTTTGTGCAGCACATAAACGGGAGCTTCAATTGAGTCTCTCGTAAAAACCGAATTGCTTTGCAAATGAGTGTATTTCTCGTAAACTGTTGGATATTTTTTTTTACTTTTTTTAAACTTCATATGTCGCCCCCATAAACCTTACTTTTTTTCCCCAAACGTAGGGATGTGCCCCGATCTTCTCGGAATTTTTGAAATCAAGACTCTTTGTCATCGCGTGTGCTCTATTCGGAGTTTGCTTCGTTCAACTTTTGAGCATCATCATTGCATTTTGTTTGTGCAGACGTCTGCGGGGATACGGAAGCGTTTGAGACGTTTGCTTGCTATTTTGACTTTTTCAACAACAAGTTTACGGTCTCTGCAATTTTTAATACATCTTGATTGTCTGTACAAGCTTTTCATGAACTCACACTATTTCGTGCTTTTGTAAATTTCCTAATTTCGGTAATCTGAATCTCTCGGTCTTGATGCGCATGCAATGTGCCTAGTCATTGTACGTTTATTGGTTGTCGTGTTTTCAGTCAAAATATGAACAGGTCTACTGATTTATCACTAGTAATGTTTGTTTATTCATCGAAAGGACCTTCAAACCAGATGTCCTCAATCTTGGAAGCGAACTGAAGTTTGTTATGGGGGGGAGTTGACTGGCAGTATAGGCATGTTCACTTTTGCGTGTGATTTTCTTGAATTAACATGGCTGTTCTCATCGTGATATCGATGTCTTGTTGTCATGTGCCGATCATTCACAAAGCTGTCATCGCGTTATCGTGCGATAGGCCGTGGTTTTCGACTGGGCATTACCAAACTGGAATGGTTCATATTCGTTTTTTGCTGACTGATTCGCATTGTTACCAAACTGCATTGCGTGAAGGTGTACTTTTAAGTGCATGTAGCTTTCTCGTCTATTACTTGTTTTTTTTGGATTCCAATAGTGATGGAAAGCGGTCAAAAATGACCTATCAATTTCCTGCGTTTCGTGGCAAATAACGTAAGGCCGAACCACCTGTTCCAAAAGTCGCATAGATATTTACACTATCATCTTCCTGTTCGGCAGAGAATGTCTTCATTCTGGCCATTATGTTTTTCATTCTAAATCCCTGGGCAGACAACAGTTCACAATCTGAGGGTCGTTTATTTTTGTGATGGTTGATCGTCGTTCAGCTGTAGCACCCTTTCGGTGCCTAGCTGCCATGCCACCCGAAGGAAGCACGAGGGATGGGGTACTTCCAGGTTGTTGTAAGCCTGGACAGGAGAAGTCGAGATGCAGGGGTTGGATTCTAACCACAGACCTTCCGATTAGTAAACCTGCGCTGTAACCCTTGAGCCATCTCTCCTCCTTTGTGGCAGATAATCGACTTGATATTTCCTATCTTCCATTGGCTGGCTATCTTTTAAAAGTTATCCTAGAACAGAAAAAGGCGGGCGTGGGGATGGTCTCTCCTCGTTGAGGCCGAACCTTACGAGGAATGCTGTATTATAGCGTTAATAGCCTCCATTTGGGGGGTTCTCTGTTGGGGCACGACAACTTCTTACTTCCATTTTGAACTACGTGCTGCGTGTTCGAATTAATGAGCTGGTGAGCTGAAAAGTGTGTGAAACATTTTTCTTAAAAGTTGAATCACCCACCTACTCAACGTGGTGTGAGGACCATTTCCCCAAAAAAATGAAACAGGTGTACTTCTTTTCCCATCTTTGGAGAAGCACTGTCGGAAGAGGGGAACTGATGAGCTGCTGGGTCGTAGAGAAGCGAACTTCTGATAGAATTTCACTCAATCAACGTCGTGTTGGTTACAAGTGCTTGAGAGACCAAACGGATACATATTTTCCCGACGTTATATGAAATTCCTCCCGTAACGGTCAATGTTTTCGTCTCAGTCTCGCCTCTCTATGCCTGGTTACAATTGCCTCTAAAGGACGAGTCTTCTCTAATGCTACATGCGACCGGTGCGATATTTGTTGGCCAACGTCCGTAGCCCATCTCGGGCTATATTCTTTGACACAAGGGTGGTAGACTGTACCTGCGTACGCGTAACGATGCAGCCGGTGATAGGTATTAGTGTGACCAAAGGGCGCAACTCAATTTGGTTGTGTTGCTATGGTAATTCGGATAAACAAAGTTCCAGACTGGCCGCACAGGATTTGCTTGTCTCTCTCCGTGTGATCGTATCAGCGCTACACCGGGACTGCTGCATTTTGAAACAACCCTCTTGGTCAGATGCTCCAATCAAAACTTCACGTCAAATAGATCCTCGTATACTGTATGTCGATAAATTAGTATCGATCAGCAGTTACACTAAAAGTAATCATGTCCGGCCTTTTTACTTTTGCGAGAGATGTACTGAAGCGGCAGAGTCTGTCTCTTGTGCAGTCTGTACTGTGGAAACCGCTGAGATAAAACATCCGCTTGCTTGCCTCATAGGTTTCCTGCACGGTGATAACTCGGTTGGTAGCTGCCAACCCCAGTGGTAAGCTTCTAACAGCTATTGGCCCAAGCTTGGTTCCACTGACGTGGGCCGTAGGCACACTGCAGATGCGGACGCAAGCACTTTAACAGTGTCGACCCAGGTTTTTTCTGACTGATCACCTCGACGATACTGCCATTCTTTGTAGGGTTTAGGAGCAAGGGCAGCTCTGGGGTCTGCCTATCGTTGACGTAAGACGTGCCCAGATCATCTCAGTCGATGCTATTGGATTGGCGACTCGATTTGAGTAGTGCCAACGCATCCATGGTGGAGCCATTCTGGCAACATCTAGCAACAGTGTCATGCAATCCTTCTCTACGGGATTCAGCGTGATGCCGGGACCTTTTAGCACACATGTTGTGAATGGTCGTGTTAAAAATCAGGTGTGGTGCACTAATGAAGGCACTACTACGTTTGACAAATAAAATGCGAACGATGAAATAAGTCAAAACTTGCCGTTTTTTGCACGGGACGTTTTTTGTGTGTTCCGTACTTGTCAGTTGACCTATGGAGTGTGTGCCGCATCAAGTTGCGTGCGTATTTACTGCATACAATGTGAAGACAGGAGTGATCGGTCATTCCAGTGTGACAGTTGCATAAACAAAAACAACTTGACCCGATGTGGGTCAAGGTCGTAAGCATGGCGTGTGATGTACTGTAGGCAAAATGAATGGGAAGTCGCGCCAAGATAGTTTGAGTTGAAGGTCAGTCAAACTTTCTACGGCGCTGTGATGAATACGCATGAGTGGAATAAACTATAAACCTTACTCAAATATGGACCGTCGTAGTGAAAGGATCTCCCAAACGACGTAGCAACACTGACCGACAATGAAATAATCGCCAATGAGCCAACGACAAGTAGGTTGAACAGGCTACAAACGCGGGGGAGCGGAGTGGAGCCAGACCCCCAGGCCGCTAGTCAGTAATAATTACGGTGATACACAGCGCAAATCTCAAGTCTTCCGATGTGAAACCGATTAACCAAGCAACCATAGTGATTAGAGCCAGCACGCATAAGCAATAGAGACGACTGATGGGCAGGAGTAATTAAGGTGAACGTCCGGAGAGGACTTTTTTTCCTCATGTGATTCTATACCCCATCCAGCTTAGGACAGCTTTTGAACTCCCCGTGGGTTCACTGTTGGGGTTCCCATGGGACTATCGCGTCGAAATGGACAGGAGACGTAAATACTCCTGAAAGTCACTGCTTTGTCAAGTGGCGCGGTTTTACATAACATTTCATAGTTATTCATTGAGACCCCAGGACACGACTCAGGTCCCCGCCCGCTAATGCGAGTTTGTTTTGATAAAAGCTGCTAAGTGGACACTGGTACCACTTCGGGCCTACGGACTTTGTCAACAACCCATGCTGTAGGACTTGTTCCCATGAAGGGTCATCATTTGAGACGAAATACGATGATTCCCTTCATTCGTTTGTGTGTCTACAGTTCAAAACTCACGTGCAAGGCTCGTCCTTGACCTTTTTGAGAGTGTCGAGAGAACGTCATCAAGATGAAAACAGGCGAAATATTTGGAGAGTATCGGAGTGCCTTCTCTACCTGTGGAAGGAAGAAGGCCTTCGCCGCGGAAAACCAATTGAACAGTTACAAATTATTGGACAGGGAAGCAAAACTCTCATATGCATCTTGTTTACAAAAACTGAATATCCATCTTCCCCTTGGGCGCGTTTTCCTGAACTTTTTCGATATTCATTGACCGTTAATCAACTGCAAGCAAATGCTACAAAGCGACTCCACAAATTCCGTAATAGACCTCACTCTTCAAGAGACGCGAAGCGGAGTTACGAAACCATACTACTCGCATGCCCCATCAGTAGTATCTGCCGTTACACCTGTATCTGGAAAATATGAAGCATGTGGAATGACAGATCAACATTTATCAACCTAATGCCATCGGATAGCCTTAGAGTATTGCCTCAATGAAAAGTCGATTCTGAGAACTTGGGCACCGCGCATTGGAGTCGCCTTTGGGTACTCCTGGAAGGTCCGTAGTCGCTACACAACGAAAAGCGCTCTGGTACTGCAAATGAAGATTTTCGACACACCATTCAAACTCCTGTAACTTGTAGGCACACTAATGGGGAACGACATTCATAATTCACGTAGTTCACAGCTTGGTTGCTGGTTTGTTTACAGAGCTTGGTAGTTAGACTGTGAATGTTTCATCACTCCTCTAGGAGACATCCCCAGTGCCTCCTCTTCTTACGGTTATATAGTTTCTAAACAGCATCTACTGATTCTACCGTGACTGGTTGGTCGTGGGGAGGCTTTTATTTAACTTGGAATCTGAGTGACCTTGTGGTCACTTGTGGTTCGCAGAGAGCCCTCGTTTCAACATTTCTGGTCATCTATTGTAACTGGTCGGATTTCTTCTCCCACTGCCGTTCGGTTCTCTTCTACTTTACTGGTTAACCTGATGGCCTTCTGTTTGTAGCAGTTTTCCTCAGTCAAATTGGCTCATTCGTTATCATTCTGCTGAAGCGACTTGGAGACATTCGACGAACCGCAACGGAACCAGACCACAAGACGATTCAGACTAAACGCTGACCAATCAGGTTGCACGAAGGTCACCCTGCGACCAACCGGTCAAGTTAGAGATGGTAGATACTGTTTAGAAACTATACAGGTGAGGGTAGAAGTGGAGAACTCGGTCATCCAACTTGCACTGATGGTATCTCCTAGATTGATGATCAAAAGCTTGCAAACAAATTTCCAAGTCTGGCGAAGAAACAACCAATAAAGCAGCCCACCCGAGCCACAAATACTACTCATTTCAACTCATCGAAGCGGACATTCTGAGAAGGCGGGTTGGAAGTGGTGCATACGATGTCAGAGGTACTCTTCGCAAGATCAACTGGTCAAGTCTGATCCGCTGTCACTTACAAGAACAGCAGGTATTCCTTTTAAAACTCTATTGAATCATGCGTGCGGGAATCGACAGTGGAATGTTTTGAGAAGGAAACCCCAGGTGTCTTTGTCGATATAATGCACTGTTCAAGAGGTTGCTGAAACTCCTCAACAGCAACATCGTGTTATGTCAAGAAGACATACGTCCACCCATCGAATCTCGTACCAAGTGAAGAATGAGAGGACCTTTGTGCAGCGCATTAATCTTGACAAATATCATAAACGGATGAATCAGCTTTGTCCCATGTTAGCACCGACTTAATCTGCAAACACATACATTGCTTAAAAACTTCCGATATTTGGAATGAACTTTCTTGATTACCAGCACATAGTAATGGCCCGGGAATCGACCAAAGCAACCTGCGTAAACGTTCATGTCGGGCAATGAACTCAGCCGGTTGCCTTCCTGTATGTATCACAGTCAGTAGCATGTCCTCATTAAATGAGCCTCGTCATGGACGAGGCTCCATCAAGATACAGTCATGACAGCGTCGCACAGGGTAGAAGATATCCGCGTGGATTGACGCGTAATTCACGATATCGAGCGGTATAGTTCGATAATCACCGTTTTGACTGAATTATGTGTTGTGTATCAATTCCAGCGATTCACGAGTGATGGATGGTTAATTAAACAGTAAATCTTATCTTCTTCATAAAGGAAACTACTCACAAGGTCGCTGAAAACTCTCCAATAGCCCACGACCTGTTTGCTCCTCTTCGAGCTCATCAGATAGGCGTAGTCTCCGAGTTTTCATCAACTATATGTTCTACTTGAACCCAAACTGGACTGATTTTGACAAATACATTCATTCAGTTGGAGAATATCATGAATGAGATTCCATTTGAGTACCTCACGAAGACAAATTGATTTTCAAATGGGTATATTTACGGAAATCAGTCTAACTTTGGTTCAGTTGGAACATAAGGTTGGCCGAAACCCTGATGAGTCAGAAAAAGGGCTCTTTGTGAGATTTTGAGTTCTGATGCACTGAGTATTCTCTTTAGATGTAGAAGGAACAAGGCTAGTGGCATGGCTCACAGCAATGGTTTAAGGAACAAGGCTAGTGGCATGGCTCACAGTCATTGTGGGCTCACTGGAAAACACCATCACCAGATAGAAGGAAGTGCTATCGGAGAATGGAGGGTCGATGCCGCCAGCGAATCGATCTCTAAACTGTTTGTCGAGTTGATAGTGAATTATGAATTCATCTGTTAGACTTCAGTTGAATCACCTACCAATGAGTGAAATTCAACACTTTCGGATAACAAAAGGTCAAAGATTTAACAGTCAGGCCTCACGCTACCCACGACAATGGGACACCAGATTCTCCGAAAGTCTGTAGACACCCCATCTAGTGGTACCAAATAGGAGCGCAGTTCTCCTCTGGTCAAAGATAATTTCTTGCGTCATGTACCGTGTTTTTATTCGTCCAGAATAGTGCTCAGCGTCTCTTGCACTAGACCGCACCTACCTGATAAGCCCCAAGAGGAGCGAAACTGGTTTTGGGCTGTCGGAGAGTTTTCAGCAACCTTGTGAGTAGTTTCCTTTATGAAAATATACTGCGATATCTCGAATATCGTGCCAACTGAATCATGAAGCGGCTTATATGCAGCACTTTCAGTTGTAGAGTATCATAAACGAGAGATTCAGTTGAGTCTCTCGTGAAAACCAAATCGATCTGCAAATGAGTGTGTTTCTCGAAAACATCTAAGAACTTGTGAAATGAAGGATGCCGGAGAGACTGACACGATATCCAATGTGTTATTCAGTGTGAAATGAGGAGTAAGTACTGAAATTAGTATTGGAAGGCCGGACCTAGTAGAGTCGATTCTAATATAAAGACGGATGCTTCAAGTTCACTGTAAACCAACGGTTCGGATTGAATAACCTGAAACAAACAATAGTTTGATGGAAATATCAGAGCTCCTTGAAATCTCCTTCTACTGTCTGTCGGGGTAGAAAGGCGACTTCCTACAATAAAGGAACCAAGCCATTGGAATCAGGACTAGCCAAGTGTGATAAGTCGATACTAGAGACACGGTAAGATAAGGAAATGAGGAACGCAGAGGTCGCAGAGTCGAATGTGATGTGTGAAGCGAAGTAAACCAAAAAAATTGTTGGTTTTGACACCATCTGGGAACGAGGGCTGGAATGAATAGACATATTATAAACTCAGTCAGGGCCCCAACCAAGGTAAAGTCAAATAATCTGAACTCACAATTTTATCGACCGGCCCAATAAGTCCGATTCAATCGGTGGTCAGGGGAAACGAATGTGACAACGAATTCGTGGTGGTTGAAAACTTGTGAAACCGTCTCGCAGCATTTTAGGAACCACTGTTGTGAGTTCAGTGAAGTGAGAACTTGTTTACAGAACATTATATTAATACTGTTTTAACAAATCACCCAGTGTTTATCTGCATGTTCGCTCAAATTGATGTTTACATACAAACTTAGAACAATGAGAATTCTGGGATTAGGATTATCTGATGAGACCCAACAGGGTCGAAAACGGTGCTTCGTTGTCCAAGAGTTTTCAGCGACCTTATAAGTAGACTCATGTAGGAGTAAAACTTACCCGAATCCGAAAAAACCACCCGAAAGGACACAACTACTGCCCTCATACATTCCAATTGTGTATACTTCCAGAATGAAGTACCTAACTACGGGACTGACTAATTGGAACCCCCCGGATGAATGACAATCTACTTATAATTTATTTATTTTGATTTTACAGCTGTTGATAAAATATACCAGTTTGAACCGAAACTTCAGGACTAAAAGAGATCGTATCCTTTATAGGCATGCTTCCCTTAGCAGAACTTTCCTTAGGGATTGCTGGTCGTATGCGCTGTTACAGTAACCCATCTTAAACAGACTTCACACATTGTTTGAACTGTCGCTTGCTGAACGATAGTGCGACTCTGTATCGGTCCCTTGGTATCCTGCTCCGCCAACTATGATATATCAAAAGACAGGGTAGCTCTACACAGCCATTTATGGAGACAAAAGAAAGCTACTACAACTGTATTTATAGGGTAATCACAGTGTTCCACAAGTTCGTGCTTGGACCTCCGTGAGGATGCTCGATCCGGATTGGCTGACATTCTGACCAATCAGGGCATGCCTTCGTTTAGCCCGCACCCAGGACGCGACACATCCATTCAAATGATGTGATTTTCGGTTTTTAGGGACGGCTGGCCTCCAACATGACAGGTTTTTAGGGACGGCTGGCCTCCGGACAACATGACATCAAATCTAAACCCGATCAAATAGAAGTTCATTTTACCGATATTCCCGGAAACTTTTTGGTGACCGCATCCCATGGTTATTCTTTATGAAGTTTTTATCTTGTCATTCTGTTCGTTTCACCGAAGCTCTAACAATCAGTTCACTCGTCGAACCCGTGTAAAACTGTGAATCGTTTTAAAACCGTTTGACGTAATCTCCTAGGAATTTACCGGGAAAACGGTACCAACGAAAGAAATGGCTAAGTTCACTCTTGCCAATGTACCGGTATAATTTCAACCAGCGAAAAAGACGCTTGTGTTCTTAAATCGCACTTGGAAATTAGTGTTTGAGGACGAATAAGTTAGTTTTCGTTACTCTGCTGGAGCTGTAACTGCACAAAACTGCATCTTCTAAAATCCGGGGGCGAGACAAAGTTCACTTTTTAGAGGAGGGTTGTCGTACTGTTTCGCTCTCGATACAAACGCTGACAGCTACATATCTGCGTAGCCTCCATTTGATCGAATCCCAAGTTTTTGTGGACGACAGTCCCTTAATGCCTTCTTATTACCGTGAACCCCGGTCTGGTTAGCCACATGGTCGCCTAGTGCGCTTGGCCGAACCAGAAATGTCAATGAACGTGCGAGGCAGTTGCTCTATTGATCACTGTCACGTACAAGCGGTCAAGAGTGATACTAAGAATACAATTTATCTGCCAAGGGCGAGTGAAGAACAACCAATGAAATGTTTCTCAACCAAAAACAGTTATTCGATTGGCTGGTTCTCCTAACATGACTAATCTCAAGGCTGCCTACATCGCGCTCCATGAAACAGGCAAAAACTGCTCCATAATGACTTGCTTTGCTTCAGCAGTGTTGTAAGTAATATGAATGCGTTTAAAATTCCACTGCGAATGTCACAACTAAAATGCCCATCTACACTACTGAACTACTTCAGTACTTGAGTTTAATTTTATACTAAGCCACACAATGATCCAGAATGAGAAGAACAATAAGGCCTATTGCAAATGACTCAACCGGGGACGCCAAACGCTGAGTACAAATAGAATTTCGTATACATTTCAGATCTCATCCTATCAGTGAAGCCAATCTACGCTGAAAAGCCGAAAAGCATTGTACAGCTGTTGCATCCTTATTGGAAATCACCAACAGTTCTCCACTCACGAAACTCAGGGAGTTTCGAATCCACAAGCTTTGGGCCAAAGGTTGGACGTTTAACCGACCCGCCGCGAACGACTGGACAGTAGTGTGATTAGCCCCACTTTGACAGGATACCGTCCCGCTCATCAAACAGTCACAAAGACCACAAAACATGGTGACGTTATGACTGGCGACGTTGATTGTACATTACTCTTGAGGCGTTTCTTTCTTGAACTAAATACAACCTGGTTAGTCCTTCAATAGTATGGGGTTCCGGTAATACTCGCGAGGTGCCATACTGGGGCAGGTGGAATGTTTCGTTGAAATAATTGAGAGAGAACTTTGGTATCTTGATGGCAAGCACATGACTGTTGCCAATGCACCTTTCACGTCATGTGTTCAGGCCGGCTCATTGCTTGAGACAGGCCTCACCGATTTTATCTCCTCGTCATTGCCAAGAGCTTCCACGCAGCACCACACCGGTCTCTAACTATGTGCTCACTTTTGATCGTCATATCCGATTCGGATGCCAGATATTTTTACACAAAGCATGAGGCTACCGTCTGAAAAGTGTACAATCATTGGTGATAGTAGTATATGGAAAGTTGTGTGCCTAATCTTATGGGTACGTTCAGCTGTAGCACCCTTCTGGTGCCTAGCTACCA